AACGCTCGAAACGTCAGCTTTTGTAATCGTTACGGCGGCCAATTTACCATTTCAACTTTGTTGATATATCCAAATTATTTCGTTACCCCCACCGACGCAGCCCCAGATAGTTTCTTTAGAAACTATCAGCTTTTATCCTTTCCTTTACATCCTGAGACCAGTGTGCAAAGTCTCCATACTGTCCTCTATACACTTCCTAGGGTGCTGACAAGGATGTTTGTTTTTTTAAGTAAAGACCTTCTAGGTTAGGCGGTGACCATTTCCCCAATTCTGGTGACCTTAAGGTCTGATCCAGGCATGATATTGTATGGAGAAATTGGATGATAGTTACCGTAAGGGGTCTGGGGGTTGTCTTACTTTTCTGCCAGGTTTCTCATGTAAACAGATTATTCGACCATTTCTTTGGTCTTCATTATTCCCCAAAGTTTTAAGTCACTGTTATACGTGAGGTAACCATATCTGACTACCCGGTTTCCAGCAATCTTACATTCATTCAATGATCGAACAGCATCTTTGTGGGGACCATGAAGTGCACTTTAGAAAATATTTTAATTCTCACTAAAGAGTTTCAAAGTTGTAAAAGGCCTTCTTTTCTCTTAATACAGGGATATAGGATCAAACTTACTTCGTGCAATTCGCAGAGGAGTGTTTCAAGAACTAGAGGATTTGAAAGTTTTGTAAGCTACACATCTTTTAATTTACATTTTTGTTTATTTCATATTGATCGGGATGTAATATTGATCAAAATGGCTCTTTTAACTTCTCCTATTGTTGTCTCGAGCAGAGGTTTGCGTTCCAATAAGATTCACACAATTGAAGCTGATGCATTTCGAGGCTTGAAAAATTTAACATTTTTGTGAGTATGTTCATGTTTCTCATTTTCATACAAGAGAAATATTCTTTCAGATTTTAGTTTAATACGTGTAAAAAGAAAGAGGTGAGAGACACATGTATATGAAAAGGGGCTGCAATTTTCCTGATAGTAAACTAATAAACTAATTTTCTATAGATATCTTGATAGAAACTTAATGATCACTCTCTAAAATGTTTAGGTACCTTCACGATAATAAAACATATTACAAAACGTGATCAGTTTCGGGTACAGAAATCAGCATTGAAATTTCCCATAGGAGAGTGGAAAATACCCATTAAGTATTTTCTTAAATCCAGTCTGGCTCTAAGCAGCTTTAAGTCTGAAGCACTAATGGCGGACTTGTGTCCTGACGAGCTCATATTAGTGAGACACGTGTATATGAAAAGGGGCTGCAATTTTCCTGATGGTAAACTAATAAACTAATTTTCTATAGATATCTTGATAGAAACTTAATGATCACTCTCTAAAATGTTTAGGTACCTTCACGATAATAGATTAACGAACATTCGGCGAGAATCGTTCCGAGGACTTCACTCATTACAAACACTGTAAGTAGCGTATTCTTGCATGAATCGAACAAAAATAAGTCAATTATCTGGATGCCAACTTAGATTTGAGGCCAGGCTGGAAAAAAGACACCTTTTTCAATGGTTTCACATATTATACGCAAGATATTTTGCGAGCCGTCTAAAAACCTTTTTTCTGAGCCTCGTGAGAGGAAAAATACGAGCAAAGAAAAAAATCTCTCCTCCCATCATAAGTTCAATCATCAAATAAAGAATTTATTATTCCACTCTTACCTCAATTTGCAGAATTCTTAACCTAGTTTTCGTAATTAATCCTCAGGCATTATCTAAGAATGGTGTCGAACACATAGGGCACGCGCCAAAGACAAAAACAGCATCAAATGTCCTTTTACGATAAAAAAAAAAGAAAAAAATTATGAGATACAATGAAATATAAGAAGTTCATATATTTTGTACTGCGGTATTAGTTACATATGATGCACGATCCTCGCAGTAGCTATTGCTTAAATAGCGCTATCTACTGCGAGGATCGTGCATCATATGTAAAAAAATTATGTTTACTTGAAAGTTCTCCGCTTAAAACCTCATGCCTAAACGACGTAATCAAATCGTTGGAATCGTTTGGTGCGGCCACTTTGTTGCTCTGATTTCCGTCCGTATCTATACCTAGTTCAGCAATGCTGTCGAATAATTTACTCGTTCTGTTGGCCCCATAGGGTATAGTGTCGCAATAGTGGAATGATAAGTCGTGGAAATTGATAAAAAGGGACCAGTTACATCGCAATAACATTTTTCACTGGAATTGACCAGACGTGAGTTTAAACCTTTTTTTCTTCCTATCCTCAGTTTTCTTAATGGAAACCCATTATCAGAGTCGGATTTTGCTCCTGACACCTTCGACGAGTTGACAAGCCTCAAAACATTGTAAGGCCTTCTGAATGTTATTTAATTTTCTGATAGTTATAAATTTTGCACCGATTAGAGCTGATCCGGAAAAACAAGTGTGATTTCTCCATAATTTTAACTTTTAAACAAACATAAAAAAAAGATCATCTATACGCATAAACTCGATTAAACAAATATAGAGGGTAAGTTTTTAAAGAAACTGTGGTGCTGCGTCGTTGGAGGGTATTACAGGATAATTTGGTTTTGTCAAATTGGCTACTGTAAGATGACGGTTCGAGCGTTATCCTTTAACCATTCGCTCTGACGAAGGGCTAACGCTCGAAACGTCAGCTTAGATAACAATAAAAACTCTTTAGTAATTATCTTGACAATCATGTGCTCGCAGAGTCGTAAAGACATAAATCTTTTCATGAGCACTTGAAAAAGGAGCTACTTTTGTGGAGTACGTTGCATGGCATCCCATAAAACGGCCGCGAAGGCAATCAGATGCACTTGCAGGTGTCCTCAGGCTAATCCACACTTGTACGTACTCATTGAAAGCAAACCATTATCTTTCCTAGGAAACTGGATCAATTCATCATATGCTGTTATGCCATAAGTACCATTCCAAATCTTAAATGCCACTCACCTGACAGAGCGTTCTCGACTTGCGATGATTTGATGAAAAACAACGGACTACGCATGAGTATTTGGATCCTTGGACTACTGGCCTTTATCGGAAACTTGTTGGTGATCATAGTGAGGATTCGAGTTCGAGATGAAAACAAAGTTCAGTCTTTCATACTCACTAACTTAGCATGTGCAGACTTTCTGATGGGTGTATACTTACTGATCATCGCCATAAAAGATCTTCAATGGAAAGGCGAATACTTCAAACACGACGTTGCTTGGAGAAAGGGAAACCTCTGCCAATTCGCCGGCGCACTTTCAATGCTTTCAAGTGAAGTGTCGGTTCTAATGTTGTTAACTATAACGATAGACAGGCTTATATGTGTCGTCTTTGCCCTTAGATTGCAATCCCTATCATTGAAGTCAGTGCGCATTTTTTGTTGTTGTATATGGATAATTGGCATTATCATATCGTTTATTCCCTGGACAGGAATATCTTATTTCAACGACGAGTTCCATGGCTTTGGCTTCTTTGGCAGTTCTGCAGTTTGTCTGCCGCTTCAGTTCTCAGAGGATAAGCCTGCAGGATGGGAATATGCCACAGTATTTTTCATCGTTTTGAATTCCGTGGTGTTATTGTGTATTATGACTGCTTATGTCTTAATATTCTGGACTGCTTTTACCCTCATTAACTCTTCCTCAGTGAAACACATGAAAGCCGAGTCGACCAAAGCCAGAAGACTTTTCTTCATCGTTTTGACGGACTTTCTCTGTTGGATGCCAATTATCATTATTGGAATTCTATCCTTAACTGGAAATTTTCATGATCCTAAACACGAAGCAAAAGTTTGGATAGCAGTTTTTGTTCTGCCTGTCAACTCTGCCATCAACCCAATCTTATACACCTTTTCCACTCTAGGAGTGCGAAGAAAGTTAAGATCAGCGCTCAGTAGGAGATTTGGCGGAAAGTTCGGCTGTAAGTGAACACTGCCTTGTGTCGTAACTTGAAAACCAGTCGTAAGCAGTATGGAACTGGAGTGGGTTTCATAATTTCTACCGGATAGCGATAGATTTTACTAGAGAAATCATTAAAGCGTCAGTTCATTACCAATCCAAATCAAACAGGTATCACTACATGTTTATAACAAGTGTGGCTTATTCTGTACATCGGCTGCAGTGAAGGTCCACTTTACTTTCACCGTGTAAAGAGGCAATTGGTAATATTAATAAACATTTAACAAAGGATCACGAGAGAAAATAACATTTAAGTCAGCGTTTTCAAATATCCTTGATTCACCTGACTTCTAAAATAGCCCAATGTACTCTGCTTCGCGCTTGCCGACTTGCCAATAATGTGCAAGCCATATCGCATGAAAAATTGCCGCAGAACATGTGCCCCTTATCTAAAGTAAAACATTCTTTCGCTTCTCCAGATTATATTAATATATATTCATAAATCCGTGATATTTCAATGACACACGATTGCGTTCAGTATACTTGGAAAATACTTCAGCGCAGTGAATGTATAGAGAATCCTACTGGCTTATTAAATTTCAATTTTTATTTACAGGCGGTATGTGCAAACAAAGAGAGCCCACCGAAAATTTATCCATGCAGGACACAGTTGTCTCGGAGCATCGCCACATGGAATCAGTTGAAAGTCCACAGAGGAAGCTACATATCATAGAGAAAGCTTCTGGATTTTATCAAGATGATGATATAGTATGTCAAGCCTCCTACATGTTTTTGGCTATTTTAGCACCTTAATAACCTCAATAACAATGACTGGGATACGCTATCTTCATTTCCATCACTGCACAAAAGCTTCACATAAAACGCATCAACCATAGTAGCAGGCGAGGTGCTCATCACATAAGAAATGAATTAATTACCTTAAAAAAACACTTAAGCTTAGTCAGTTACACATACATCGTACAACGGAGATTAACATCCAGTTTGCAGCTCCCAAATTCACCTATCGTCAACTGACATCTCTTTCTTTATGTTATAGTTTTATTTCGTTGCTAAGGAAATGACCAAAGGAGAGAGTGTCAAGGTGTTGCTGAAATGCTTCAGCTCGAGAAAAAGGAGTACTTTCGAGAATGAACTAGAAGTGGTTAAATGTTTACCTCAAAGCGCGACTAGAAATGATATTCCTGCTCTTCAGTGGTACTCGAAAGGTAGAAAGTAAAGTTTGATGTTTTTTTCTTCCCTTTAATTCAAAAGGAAAAGGTAGATGAAATTTTGAAATGCTTCTTAGAAGTAATGAGCAGCAAAGAAATCTGGTCACCAACAAAAGTACAGGGAAAACCTTATACCTTTTTCAAACACAACACGCACGCTCTTGCTGATGCAATTCAGCGCGCGCACATGGATTGTAGAAAACAAACATGCCGTCAATAGAGCGGTCATTTTATTTACTCAACACGTACCCGCACTATCTGTGCTATTTTTCTTTATAGTTGGTGCAGTGTACTGAGGGCTTTAATCTTTTATTATAAAGATATGTTAGAAAACTTAATGGTGCAAAAACCTCAGCAATTCTCAGCTTTTTCGTCGTTACCGAAAGAAACTGGTTAAATGCAGCGCATGCGTAGTCAGTAAAAAAATTGCGATTGAATGGAAAATATGTTTTCTCGGAAATATGCCTATTTCTTGAGAACCACTCATTAGGACTTCACGAAATATGGCACAAAAATACTTTTGGAAATAAGTAACTGGAGTATCGAAAAAATTGATTTTAAACAAAGGAAATTCTAGAAAATCGAGTGGACCTTCAACAAGGTATAATCAAAGACCTCTCTGTTAAACTGTTCGCAAAACGGTGTTACCTTGTGAGTATCGTTACAATCTCCGTGCATGCAAATTATAAAGAAAATCTAATGACTTGATTTGCTACAAAGTAACAAAACCGATTTTAATTGCCAATTTATATCCATTCGTGTCGCCTTGGCAACGGCACATATGTCACCTTAACTATCGAAAAAATAAAGTTTATGTTGTGAACTTGCTTGCTGCCAGTTTTGGAGACCGAGAGATCAAGGGTTTTAGAGAAAATGGTGAAAGAAACAAAGGTATCAAAAACTGTGTTCAGCCACCTTAAGTGACGGAGTTCTTATTCTCTATTCAATCTGCAAAGAGCGAACACGTTCTAATCTTGTTCTCCTGAATTTTAGTGCATATTTTCCTTTACAGCAAATGTTTTGGAAATACATTACGTGAATGAGGATAACCCACGACCCAATGAGAATATAAGGTATGTGCGAGACGAATGCTCCTGAAACTAAATTTGGTTGCACAAGAAAGAGGTTTTTCACAGTAAGCCGGAATTCATGGATTCAGCCACTTTTTCAACAAACATGTCTAAGAGAGAAAATAAAGTAATGATAATGATAACGATTACCATCCCTGTCAAGATTAAGGTGGGGGTGGGGAGGGGGCGGGGTTATGAGGATGTCCCACGACCCAATAAAAATATTAGGTATGTGTGAGATGGGTACTCTTGAATTTTTATTTGGTTGCATAAAAAATGAGGTTTTTCACACTAAGCTGGAATTCGCAGAGTTAACATATTTTTCAACATTGAAACATGTCTAGGGGAGAAAATGTAGTAACGGTAATGATACTAAGCCCTGTGATGGTAACGATGGGGAGAGGTGGGTTATGACCTAGGTATTATCATATATATATATATATATA